CAAACTCAAGCTACTCAGTCTAAATATACATTTAGAATACATATTGTGTTTATTAATCACATAATCAAGATAAATAGCAATGTAAAAAAAAAAAAAATTCGGAACAAATTACGATATAAAGTACCGGTTCTTAGGGTGCATCATTCATGAAATTCATTTTTACATTAAAATAAACCGTAGTAATTTTTACAGAAATACTTATTTAATCGGAGTGATTTAATTATTCTAAGGTAATTATTACGGTAAAATTTACATTATTTAAGATTTTTTGTTTTGTAATATGTTGCGGTAAAAATGAATTTTACGTACTTTTTACTGTAATATTTATTTTTATCATGTTTTTTTAAGTAGTTTTTGCATAGCAGAAAAATACTTTTAATCAAGAATATACTCAAAAATTGACCTTAGGCACTGGATCTATTTGAAATGGTCACAGGTACATGGTGCGTAGCGTTTTTAAAAAGTGCTTAAAGGTGCTTATTTTCGATTTTCGTTATTTAAAGACCCTTAAGGGGGCTCTTTTAATTGAGTGTTTTTTAGTGCTTGATTTTCCCTTTTTAAAAAATGAGATTTTTTTTTCGTTACCATATCGATTTTTGACACGTAATATGCAAAAGCGTGCTTTTTGTATTGTTCTTTTCAACTTTTTCACAGTTCATTCCGTCGGCCCATGGCGTATGAAAGCTCCAATCATTTTACACGTTTGATGAAATACGTGCGTCTACTGAGCTGGGTTCGGTGAGATTATTACCTTCTCATGTGCAACTCTGCTGCATTTTGCAAGATATTCTCAATTTCAGACTTTATTTTCCACCCTATGATATCGAACCGAAAAATCCCTCGATCCTTTTATAACTGCTAATATAATCAAGAAAAGAGTTCTTTGTGAGAAACTAGTTATTTTCTCGTGATCATGTAAAGCCTTTGCATTTTGTTAATGAATATAGTGCTTAAAAATATTTTTTGAGTGCTTAAAAAGTACTTAAAAGAGGTGCTTATTTTTTGTTGAAAGATTTGGCTACTCCTCTTTGGCTCATCATCCTTCTCGTCACAAAAAGACAGCACTGATTTTCTGTACTTATTTTTACATTTTGAGCGTCTATATCTAATCCACCCATCATTTTATCACTGTATTTGCACATTTAGTGTGTAATGTGTGGCGTAATGACACACTAAAAGTATAAGTAATAAAAGTTTAATTAAAATAAAAGTAAAATTAAAATTAAGAATCAGTTCGGAAATCAAAGCTACAAAAAAAAATTTATTTCAAAATAAAATGTTTTTATTTTAATATCGAGAACAAATCGAAAGACTCAGGACTTTTATAATAGAATTTACAGAAACTAAAAATTGAAAGACGGCAAGCATACTTATACTGTACTTTATCTAAGAATTAAAAGTATTAATTCAATAAAAAGAGTTGTCAAAACTTTTTTTCATACTTTTGAAATTTATTTTATTTAGGAGGATATTAGTTTCACATAAATAGAAAAAATATAGATAAAATACAATTTACACGAGGAAACATTTTAATCTTAATTTTAAGTAAGTGATATTATAATAATATTGAATAAGTGAAAATAATTGGCAGTTTTTTAAGCTTATGTTTCGTCTCGTCGCTGTAAAAACTATTTTTATTTTTATATTGGTCATAAATTCTTCCCACAAATTTAATTTAAAAGTAATTTTAAAAGTTGGAGAAAATTAACTATCATTAAATCGTTGCGTATAAAGTAAATTCTTAAATAAAGGAAAATGTAAAAAAAGAATGATCTTTTGCATTAATTTACTTATTTATTTAGCTTTTAATGCAAATAAAGGCGTGTGATTGCAGTTAATGAGCCGTGCAAAAAATAAAATAAGTTATCGAATAAGTATAGCGAAATGGTTCTTGACGAAAGGAAGAGGAAGAATTGTAACGATTTATTGCTTCCATCACTTGGGGGGAAAATGACATGAACTCGATTTGTTTGAATTTAAATAGGAAGCTAACTATATATAGTAAAACTGGTAAAATCTTAAATTGATTAAGCAAGATCAAATTTTTTAATCATGTTTCAAAAAGATCTTGCATTGTTTTAATTGGAGTGTGAAATTGAGTTAAAAAACTTTTTATTTTTAAGATGTACGATAACTTTTAAGGTGATTTCCTTTTAAAATAAAAATAAAAATTAAAAAAAAAAAATTTTTTTTTGATTTTATGTCTAAAATACTCTTTTGTTTTTTCATAACTTAAACAAGCTATTTCTCGAAAATTAATTTCTCTTTATTGAAAAAAAAAAAAAAAAAAGAGTATCATNCTCGAAAATTAATTTCTCTTTATTGAAAAAAAAAAAAAAAAAAGAGTTGGGATCGTTTTTTTAGAAAATTTTCACCTTGCTTGCCTTTGTACTCTCAATACGCAAAAATTGTTGGAAGAAAAAATCTGAAAATTTGAGGATTTTAGAGAAATATTTAAGGAACATTTTGGTATGAAAATGTTATTGATTCGACCATTAATGCTCAAGTCATTAGTTGTCAAATTTTAAGACTTTTATTTCAATTAAATTCAATGTAATTCAGATTCAAAAATCATAGTTCAAAACCAACTGAACTATAAAAAAATTCCGGATCAAATTAAGGTAAAATGTACCGGCACTCAAAGTGCTCGCGCTTTTAACGGTAAAATCAACTTTTACCTAAACATATTATGGAACAAAATTTTTTTTTTCTCTTATTTTTTACAGTAATAAAAAAATACAGTTATATATATATATATATATATATATATATATA